GCAGCGCCTGGCAGGCTGTCGGCCGAGCCAGCCCGACTGTCCGGTTCAGCGGACCGGCAGTCTGGTCCAGACCGGTTCAGACCGGCTGGACCGGTTCAGTTAGTTATTATCAGTATTAGTCCCGGTTTTCAGTTTCAGTGTTATTTTCTGTAAATTTCCGGGTCAAGTTCAGTTAAGTTAAGTTATATCAGTTCAGTTTCATACTAGCCGGTTTCAGTTATACCGAATAAGTCCGAGTATCATGTCAGATTCAGTAGAGCATCTTAACATAATTAAACAGTTAAATTATCAGTCTGAGCATAGTCAATAGTAATTGTTTATATTATTTTCAGTTTGATCAGGCATCAGCACTGCCCTTCAGTTTCAGTTTCAGCATTTCAGGTGGGGACTCAGACTAAGTACTACATTGTTTATAATTACGCTACCATGTTTGAGTTATGTATATTCAGTATCCGCTCGGAATGGTCGCCGGTCCATTCTGAGTTCTAGTGGCCTAATCTAACCACTAGAGTGTGCACATGGTCCGGTATTAGTTTGTGCCGGGAGATTGCGGTATTAGTTTGTGCCGACAGATTTCAGTTATCAGTTACATGACTTATGTCGCGAGATCAGACCGGTATCAAATATCAGTTTCAGTTCAGTTCAGTTATATATGCTTAGTTCATGATATTGTTATTATTTACGATGTTTACATTAGTATGAGTTTCTACTGAGCACAAGTGTTTTAGTGCTCACGCCCCACACTTTTCATGTTTTTCAGGTCGCAGGGTCGGAGACGAGGAGTGAGCGGGCGGGCTGTTCAGGACTTTTGTGATTATATCTATATATATGTTTTTGCCACGCTTGACTTCCGCTAAAACTTTCAGTACTTGTTATCAGTTTTTGTTCCGACATTAGTCGGATAAGACATTAAACCGTTTTATTTTTCAGTTTAAAAATTTTAACGGTTTTCAGAAAAAGCAAGTTTTTCACGGTAGCATCCCGAATCAGTTTTTGCAAAAATTAATGTTTTATGTTTTATTCAGAAAACTTGCGAAAAATCGCGCACTCTGATATTATAAAAAGTCGGGATGTTACAATTGGTATCAGAGCACGTTCTGCGTCTCTGAAAAGTTTTTCAGTTAGTAATTTTCAGAAAAACCTGAACCGTCACGCTCACGCCTCGCCGACACCAGGTAAGTGCTAATTCAGTTTCAGTTATAAACATATTACTTTGTCTACGCTCAGAAATCAGTAATCAGACTTAGTTAAGATGCTCGATTCAGATTCAGACTTTAGAGTTCAGATATAACTCTAGAATTCAGTAGATTCAGACCTGACTTTAGAAATCAGTACACTCAGATATGACTCTAGACTTTAGTATCTTTCGATATGACTCTAGAATTCCTCAAGTTTCATGTCAGTAATTATCGGCCATTTTTGGCAACTCGTCAAGAGATTTGTGTGGCTCAGTAATCAGTCAGAATATCATCACATGTTCAATAATTTTGAACTTTCTCAATGTTCAGATGCCGCCACGTAGGGAACCCGATCATCCGGCTCCTACTCAGGCTACAGTGGTCGCGCAATTCCGCGACTATCATGCCGAAAAGTTCTCAGGGCAGGGAGATCCTCGCATAGTTGACGAGTGGATTCAGGGCTTGGAGTTTATCTTCGAGGTCATGGAGTGCCCTGAGAGATATCGCGTCATTTGCGCTCAGCTTCAGCTCACCGGTGATGCCAGGCTTTGGTGGAACGCTTACTGGAGCATGCGTTCCGACGAGAAGGCGGGTTGTACGTGGGAGATGTTCAAGGAGTTAATCCGCGAGAAGTACTACCCCACATACTACCGAGCCGAGATGGAGCGTCAATTTCTATCGCTCCAGCAGGGTACTCGTACTGTTGACGAGTACGAGAGGGAATTCACGAGACTTGCAGCTTTTGTTCCTGATTTGGTCCGCACGGAGGCCCAGCGAGCGCAGCGTTCATTGACGGGCTTTACCCAGCAGTCCGTCATAACATCATAGGCCACGGGACGCAGACGTACGTACGTGCAGTCTCCATTGCCCAGGAGGTGGACGCCAGCATTAGGAGGGAGGCCGTTCGTGAGCAGTTCCAGCCATCCGCCCCTGCTCAGTCATCTTCAGTTCCACCGTTGCCAGCTCTACCATCTACCCAGCCACCAAAGAACAACAAGAGAAAAGAGAAAGGTGCCCCGACAGACAAGAGGACCCGACGTAGGCTACAGCAGATTCCACAGTGCCCGACATGCGGACGACTTCACCGAGGCGAGTGTCGTTTTGGTCAGGATGTGTGCTACTATTGTCACGAGCCCGGATACTTCGCGAACCGTTGTCCGAAGAAGGCGCAACAGCCTCAGCAGCCACCGCAGCAGCAGCAGCCCCGTCAGCAGGCACAGAGGCAGCCTCAGCAGCAACAGCAGAGGGGCAGACAGCAGGCCCGAGTTTACGCCGTCGATCAGGCAGAGGCCGAGCAGCAGCCAGGTACCATGTCCGGAATGGTTATTCTTAATAATGTTCCTGTGATTGCTTTATTCGATACTGGAGCGACACATACATGTTGGAACCCACGAGGATCTCGATATGCACAAATCACGGACAAACATTCAACA